AGCGAAAAGAAAAAGAACAAAACGTCATTGACGTCATCACTCTTTGGCTAGCTGGCAAACCCGCCTCTAGCTAGCTAGCTAGCTAGCTAGCTAGCTGCATGGCTAGATGGCTAGCTAGCCAGCTACATGGCGAGCTAGCTAGCTAGATAGCTAGCTAGCTAGCTAGCTAGCCATCTAGCTAGCTAGCTTTACATCTAGCTAGTTACCACTCAAGCCAGCGATCCAGCTAGCTATCTAGCTAGCTAGCTCGCCATGTAGCTGGCTAGCTAGCCATCTAGCCATGCAGCTAGCTAGCTAGCTAGCTAGCTAGCTAGAGGCGGGTTTGCCAGCTAGCCAAAGAGTGATGACGTCAATGACGTTTTGTTCTTTTTCTTTTCGCTCTTCTTCTTTAAATGCACTTTGGGGCTCCGCCGCTTCTTTTGAGTCCTAAAAATAAAAATAGAAATAAAAATAAATATAAATAATAATAATAAATAATAAATAATATATAATATGTAATAAATAATGAATACGAAATAATAAATAATAAACAATAAGGATAAATAATAAATAGTAAAACTAAAAATGAAATTAAAAATGAAAAGGGAAAAGTAAATTCCCGGAGAGCAGCAAATGGTTCGAAGAGAGAAAAATGGAAAATTAAAAAAACGGAAAAATGACCAAATTGAAAATAAATAAAAACAAAATAAATTAATTAAATTAAATTAAATTAAGTTAAATTAATTAAATTAAAACTTCTTTGAAGTCCAAAATTATTTCAAATTTGAAATTTCGTCTCAAGTGCAAGTGCGTTCCGGTGTCTGTACACCTGATCTGCTGCGCAATCGGCGTCACTTGGAAATGAAACTTTTTGCTTTTTTTGCATTTTAAAATGTTTTAATGGATTAATTTGTTTGAAAATAATAACCAAATTGAAATGCGCTTTCAGAAAAGTGAAATTGGTTTAAATTTGAAGACTTTTTGCGCCAATTCGGGGAATTTCACATCACGAATTTGCCCCGCCTTTTACCTTTTTTTTGCTGTTTTGCTTTTTCTCCTTTTTGCCCCTCGGCAGCTCCAAAAGCTCATATCCCTCTTCGTCAGAATCTGTGTCTTTTGAAGAGTGCTGCGCCTCATTTGCTGCTGCTGCTGCTGCTGCTGCTTCTGCTGCTTCTGCTGCTTCTGCTGGGGTTTCGCCGGACTGCGGCCGCGGCGTTGCTGAAGATGAAGCTGGACACGAGGGAGACTCTCCAGCTGCTGCTGCTGCTTCTGCTGCTGCTGCTTCTCTTGCTGCTGCTGCTGCTGCACCTGCTTCCGTTCCTGCTGCTGCTGCTGCTGCTTCAGAATCTGCTTCGTCGGAGTCCCTCCTCACAAACCAAGAAACAACGCTGTACTTTCTGTCCTTCTGGGGTGTATCGACACCTCCCGCTGCTGCTGCTGCTGCTGCTGCTGCTGCAGCAGAACTCAGGGGAGTCATTTCCCTTTCTTTGCAACTTTCACTATTATTATCATTTTCTTCTTCTTCCTCTCCATCCATTTCCACAACAAGAGACAAAGGATTGGCCCTCACAGCCGGCTCTGCTGCCGCTGCTGCTGCTGCTGCTGCTGCTGCTGCTGTTTCTGCTCTTGCCCGCATTTCTCTTTCGTCTTCTTGTTTTGCCTCTATTATGAGAGCCTCCAAATTCGAAGGACTTATTTCCTGCAAATAAATAAATAAAACAAATAAAATAATAAAACAAATCAAATAATAAAGTAATAAAATGATAAAATTAAATTAAAAAGAAGGGCCTCTAAAAACAAAACCTATTTGATCAAATAAATAAACAAAATAAATAAAGTAAATTAAAAAAATAAATAAATAAAATAAATAAAATAAATAATAAATCTGGGAATTCCCAGAAACTGCAAAAAGTTGAATTGAAAGATTCCCTTGGCCATTTCGCAGGACTTTGGGATCTTTAGAGTTCATTTTTGGCGGAAAAAAAGAAAATGGAATTAAAAGGACCAAATGGACGACATTGAAGGAAATTATAGGAAATTGAGCCAAACTAAAGGAATAAAATTGAATTTAAACCTCCAAATGGAGAAATTAAATCAAAATTCGCTCCAAACCTCCAAAAGTTCGGCCGGCAACGAAATCTTGGCCGCCTGCTTGACCAGCATTTTGCCTATGCGGAAGTCGTCGACGCCGCCGCTGCACTTGAGCGACTTCAGAAACTTCACAACTTCTTCGAATCTGCGGATAAAATTGAATTTTGAATGCAAAAATGAAACTAATTAGACAAATTCACCCATTTGGCTCTTTAAACGCGAGAAAATGACCCAGTTTCCCCGCAGATCGAACGAAAAATTCAACTTTTGCGAAAACGGCGGACTCGGAAACTTCAGGAATGCCGCAACGCCACAAAGCAAACAATTCCAATTCGTTAATTCGTCAGGGAATTCAAAATGCAAATAAACGCAATTAATTCAATTAATGAAAAGAATTGAAAACAAACAAATAGACTCAACGAAGAAGCTGAACAGAGTAAGTGGAGTGGCGCGGGAAACGCAGCAAAAGGAAAAGGAGAAACGGAGGAATTTGCACATCTAAAACGCCAATTGAGTCATTTAAAAGATTTAAATTCGAAGTTGCACTTTTAAAACAAAAAGAAACGAGGGTTTAACTCCCAAAGAAACACCCTCAAGCTGCTCGACAAAAACCCTAGTTTAGGGTTTAGCCGCAGCGCAGCACCTCGAGGCTTCTTCTGAGGGTTTAGAGAGTCAAACTTTGGGCGCCAGGCAAGTTGAAAGGGGTTTTAGAAGTCCATTTTGAAGGAAATTTGAATTAAATTGCATTAAACTGCGTTGAAATCGCATCAAATTGCGTTAAATTGCATTAAATCGGATTAAAATGAACTAAATTACTTCAAAAGAACGAGAAATCGAGACAAAACCTTCAGCAGCGCCACCGCGAGTTGCAAAACCGAAGAAATTCCATTTGCAAAAATCAAATCCCAAACCACCAGCGAAGTCCGCAGCGGCAAAGACGTCACAAACAGCGTCAAAAACCTGCAAATAAATAAATAAATAAATAAATAAATAAATAAATAAATAAATAAGTAAATAAATAAATAAATAAATAAATAAATAAATAAATAAATAAATAAATAAGTATGTAAATAAATAAGTATTTGCTGGCAAGGGTTCAACGGGTTAGGGCTCAGGCAGCTAGCTAGCTAGCTAGCTAGCTAGCTAGCTGCGTGGCAACTGGCTGAGAGATTCCCTAGCTAGCTATCTAGAAAGCAAGCTAGCTACCCAGCCAACTAGCTAGCTAGCTAGCCATCTAGCTGGCTAGCTAGCTAGCTAGCTAGCCAGCTAGATGGCTAGCCATCTAGCTAGCCATCTAGCTAGCTAACTAAGCATGTAGCTAGCCAGCTAGCCATCCAGCTAGCCCTCTAGCTAGCTAGCTAGCTAGCTAGCTAGCTAGCCAGCTAGCTAGCCATCTAGCCAGCTAGCTAGCTAGCTAGCTAGCTAGCTGGTGAAATAAGGTGGAGCTGCTGCTGCTCACCACTGGTGTAGATACACCGGAGCCAAAACGCCCTCTTCTATGAAGTGCTCCCTCAGCTTCGGCAAATGCACTCGAGCCAGCTGGTCAAACGCTGCAGCAGCAGCAGCAAATGCAGCAGCAGCAGCAGCACATGCAGGAGCAGCAGCAGCACATGCAGGAGCAGCAGCAGCACATGCAGGAGCAGCAGCAGCACATGCAGAAGCAGCAGCAGCACATGCAGGAGCAGCAGCAGCACATGCAGCAGCAGCAGCAGCACATGCAGCAGCAGCAGCAGCACATGCAGCAGCAGCAGCAGCACATGCAGCAGCAGCAGCAGCACATGCAGCAGCAGCAGCAGCACATGCAGCAGCAGCAGCAGCAGCAGCAGGTGCAGCAGAACTCCAAAAAGCGGAAAAAAGGCGCAAAGAGCAGCGGCAACGCAGCAACAAACCGAGGCAAAAAGAAACCCCAACAGCACAAAAGAAAAGAAAAAGCAAAACAAACAAATAAAACAAACAAAACAAATAAACAAATAAAACAAACAAAACAAATAAACAAATAAAATAAGCAAAACAAACAAATAAAACAAACAAAACAAACAAACAAATAAAACAAACAAAACAAACAAACAAATAAAACAAACAAACAAAACAAACAAACAAAACAAACAAAACAAACAAATAAAACAAACAAACAAAACAAACAAATAAAACAAACAAAACAAAAATATAAAACAAACAAATAAAACAAATAAAACAAATAAAACAAACAAACAAAACAAACAAATAAAACAAAAAAATAAAACAAATAAAACAAACAAATAAAACAAACAAAACAAACAAATAAAACAAACAAATAAAACAAACAAATAAAACAAACAAACAAAACAAACAAACAAAACAAATAAAACAAACAAATAAAACAAACAAATAAAACAAACAAACAAAACAAACAAACAAAACAAACAAAACAAACAAATAAAACAAACAAACAAAACAAACAAATAAAACAAACAAA